TGGCCGGGGTAATTAGCAAAAGCCAAAGTTCAGTGACAATAAACATCCAAATTTTAATACTCAAAGGTTCAATATCCAAGTTTGTGTCCGTAGACACTGGACAACCACCGATTTCATAATGAGTTCGCTGATCAGAGAAGACCAAAAGAATTCATTGTTAATTCAATTCGAATTTTAATTATTTGAATGGCTCATTGAACCTATTATGTAATAGGAAAAGAGTGAAATTTTTTCACCGGCCGGTCATAGAACGAGGCAGCAAACATTGAAAGTTCGACATTCCGCCACATTCCGCCGACAGTTTGTTCTCGAATCGTGCAAAACGTGAACCACCTTCCATCCGAATATGGTCCACGAGACATGTGGTTCTGTAATTAGACGACTTCGTGCTTCGTTGAACTCATTTTGCTCGAAAAGGTCAGTCGATGTTCGGTTGTAAATGAATGTTTTGATGGTCAATGGTCATTGGACAAACCAAACCACAAAAAGAATTTGTCGTACGTGATAACAAAGTTTCGAACAAACCATAAAACTCCATTCAAATAGAGAGAGAGACAGAAGGAAAAAACCAAAGTGTAGTTTTATGTTTGTTAGATTGAAACTGGGTCAATTCAATGGTTTTTCACTAATTTTACATCCAACGCACATGCAACAAAATTGTGTCAAAGTCGTACAGCAGTCACAATATCATGGATTTTTCCCACATTTCCATTGCGATGCATATATGTGTAACTTTGGAACAATGACGATACCAAATTGCAAGCAACGACATTTACAAAATCAAAATAACATTAATGCACTTGTTACATTGTACTACTCTGTCTGCCTTTTGATAAAAAAAAACCATAATAATAGTTCATACACGTATGCTGCTGTTTCAGAGAGATCAGAGCATGGTAATAATGTTGCCTATAGGCGATGCATCATGTCTGAGTGGATAGAGAAAAAACGATGCATGCGTACGGTATTTTAAAAATAAAACTCACGCGATGCTTACGAAAAAAAAGTGAAATTTAAAACGCTCGGTAGTGGGCTGATGGCATCAAAGAACAATTGGTAGGTTGGTTATTTATAAATGCGCATAAGACATTCGGTTGCATTGATTTGTTTTAGACGTGGAAATGACTACCGAATTGACGTTAATGAGAGACACACTGCAAATCTCCAGTAAAACACGTTCGTTCCGTTCGTTTTTTTTTCATTTTTTTTCCGTACGAAAACAAATGTTTTTCTATCTATTTTAATAAATAATAAATTAGTCTCAATTCCATTGAGGGCTGTGACCGTGCACATGCCAGCCTACAGTCGGATGGAAAAGATGAAACAATATGACGAATGAAATGGGAAAACATCGACGCTTTCCAATTTCATGGAGTATTTACCAATTTGAGCCCCATTTCAAGAACCAATTAGTTTCCATGTGCACATGCCGACATGAAATGAGGAACCGACAGACCATCGTCTCATAAAATGTCCGGCAAGAAAGTGTGTATCAAATTAAATGCTACTTATGAACAAGATAGGATACAACTATGAGTCGAAATATCTCCAAACTCGAAAATGTGGCATCAATTTTCCACACCACAAGCAATCCCATGATCTGACTCGGTTTCATTGAGCATGAAATACGCACGTACGAAATTTCTATCATTATGTGCAATGACGTGATATCTAATGAGTCATGTATGTCTGTTTGTCTCGTATCCACTTTGTTTGAAACGCTTGCACGTGAACACATGCCAATGATAAGAGCAACCGAGATTCGGGAGACACCAAGCTTGGTGTCTCGTTTTGAATCAAACTTTCCACGTTCCGAGACATGTGTCTCTTATTATTTTTGGATGAACTGAGAATACATACACAAATTCGAATGCTCGTGTCAGGAAGAAGTACTGATTTTTCCCCATCACTAGCTTTTCTAGAAATTGGAACAAAAACCCAATGGAACCATAGCTCTTAAGTTGCATCGATATCAGTCCAAAACATAAAATTAACACAAATTTTATTCTCAATGTAAAGGCACGGCACATCGACCTTCCGCTCGAAATTTTCTGGAATTGTTCGTAGGCTCGTTGGTCTTTGATCTAAGTTAAGTTGAGGGCACGTGCAAGTTGGTGGCTTGATATTTTATAGCCAAAAGTTATGCCATTTAATGAATGTAATGTTCAATTCCCTTCGATGATGTTCTCGAAATATTTCACGTGAACATTGTCTTATTCTTAGCCTCCGATTTTGCTTAAAATACAAAACAAACACAGAAATTCAAAATGTAGGGAATAAATTTTTTTAATTTAATATAAAACCCTAAAAAAACAAAAAACGTGTTTAAAATAAGAACCATTCCATTAGAAGCGTACACTCATTTGCTAAAATCTCGAAGTGTTCTTGACCCCATACTATTTTTAACGTCCAAAATTCCGTATCATCTTGGACGGTAAATTTCCGTAATGTTTGCCCGGCTCAAGTGTTCATTGGCACGTGGATAGTCCTGGTGACCGGTAAGTTTGGCGATAATGTAATTTATTGGACTAGCGCTGTTCAGTATACTTAGATGGTCGATGCCCGGATACTCTTTACTATAAATATTATGGTTTCGTTGTGCCGACGCATTTTCCCAATATTTATATCCTATTAGTGACCGTTCATTAACCACTCCATCCATTTTCTTTGATTAATATCGGCTTTGCATTGTATTCCGTGCCAAAGTTCAACCTAAAATTATATTACACGATCGCCAATAGCACACAATGCCTAAATTTGTAATTCACATATACCTTTCAATCGTATCGACATCGCTACCAATCAAACAGTGCAATTCCATACCAGGTGCCGTGAAATCATGGCAATTATACAAATCTTTTCTCATTTCAACTATGTTCGCGATGCCAATGATACTAGAATGTAAAAATAAACGCTTTCGTTCAAATATGGATTAGAAGAAATGAACAGAAATAGCAAGAAACGAATTATACTTGAGTTTCATACCGGAAAAACTGATCAATGTTTGCAAGCGTATAGTTTGTGCCATTGATAACAGTCAATACTTTATTTGATTTCCAAAAAAAATGCCGATGGCATCAGCCACACAATGGATGGAAAAGTTTCTTGAACTTGCTTCATTTTTGTCCTTCTCAGAATCTTTGAATTCAAATTATCTCCAATTGATAGGGCGACCAGCGCTTGAACACTGCCCGCCCACGGAACCGACAAAGCAATAACTTGTTTCACATATTGATTCTTCCACTTTTGTGGCATCGCTTGAAGAAAATATAAGAGCATTCGTCCGCCCGTCGAATGAACGAGTTTTGTTACATGGGTGCTGTTATTCATTTTGTACGCGTATTCAGTCAAGTACACCAATCGTTCGAACCAATCTTCATTCTCGTCTTTTGAAAAGGAAAATCCGTTTATTTTGTTCAATTCTTGGTTCAACATTCAGTTCGAATTAAATAGAAAATATTTATTTCTATTCATTAAACTACTCACTCGGCCCTTTTCGGAAATCATACGGAGCTCCAAAAAGATTTTCCCCCGATTATATCCGCGATTCGCTAAAGCCTGTACGATATGATGAAAAAATGCACCCGAATCCAAATGGTCAACAATTGGTCTGGTGTCAATCCATTCAATTGACTCAGTGCTTCCCCATTGTGGTAGCGCGATATCAACTCCGGCCGTATTCTACGTTTTGCGTGTGATATTATCGTAGGTGAGCTTCATGTTGTCGATAAAAATTGTAACACTTATTGAGGCGGCTACAATGATAAATTAATGTGCGCACTCGAGGTCACCAGCAATCAAGGTCATCGGGAAGCATTTCGTATAAATTCAACCAAAGATCAAAATAACCACTCTTTTTTGAGCACCATAAATGCAGCGCAGTCGATTTATTCAGCTTAGCTTGCATTTTATTCCCGCCTAATCCAGGAACTGTGTTGATAAACAAAAATTTCATGAAGTTGTCACATGCTTGTACTGTAATGACTACGCCTTAATTCACTTGATAACAATGAATAAACAATTTTTTTTTCTTCATAAAAAAAGTATAAATATAAACATAAGCATGTGCAGACATGGCATGTGAGCGAATCAATGTCACTGTTATCAACTGCATTACACTTGCCAACTCATAATAATCAGCTGTACGAAATAGCCGAACATATACACTAAGCTTATCGGTGTAGTGTCTGTCATTTGCTCTGTGTCAGCTGATTAAAAGTGTATAATGCGTACGATTACAGTGGCAGCGTTGTTATATTGAGAAATATGTGCCACAGCACAAAAAGTTAAAACGTTAATAAATAAACTCATACTCAGTATAACGGGCGAATGAAGCACATTTTGATTGACACTACTCTTGTGATTGTGGCTGCTCAAAACAGAATCAATTACACTTAAAACAATGCAAAACTTTGAAACTAACGCAATATTCGTAACTGAAAATCGAATTATTATCATTGTGTGACTTTTGTTGAAGATTTTTGACCCGAATCAACAACAGCGTCTCTTTAAAAAAAACGGAGTTCTTAAATTTCACTCAATTGTTTGATAATATTTAACAAAGAGTTCGGTTCGAGTAACTTCCACTGATACGAACATATCAATTTGCACTAAAACGAGTTGCATCGGTGATAACATTCCATGCCATACATACCCACAGCAGTCAACCAGTTCCGCTTGGAACAATTGATTTGGTAAAGCAACTCAGACCGAGATTAACAAAATGCTTATGTTGTGAAGTTTATCTTTTGTTTTGATTTCTCTTTGCGAAATCCACATACTGGAAAAGTTCATGTTTGGCATCATTCATATGTGATACACTTACACACTGCTCCATTGAGTGTAGTGAAATATGTGGCAGCAAACGCATATGAGAGAAAAAGTCTAGAATATTTATATTTTTAAATAAATTATCTTCATTCCGTTCCTTTATTTTTAGAAAAAATTGTTGTGGTCTATAAATAAACAAGAACAAAATCCACCAACAATTTTACTTAATTCAGTCCGAAAATATGATTAATTTGCATCACATGTAACGATTTTCAGTATGTAGTTGATGCTTTCAGAATTGTACAGTATTTTCAAATGATTGACGTCTTTAAATTCTTTGAAATAAACTGCATGACCTGCTTGAGCCGGTGTATTTTCCCAATGTCGGCATCCCCACAATGATCGCCTATTCACTTGACCATCACCATCCCCATCTAGTATCACTGGTTTTGAATTGAACCCGGATTTAAAATACAATCTCTCAGCTGTTGGAATATTCGCACCAAACAAACAATGTATCTCGACTCCAGGTGCCGTGAAATTGTTATAAACTGATTGGTCTTTTCTTATTTCAGCCATCTGTGGCTGGCCAATATCACTGGAAAAGAAAAACAAGAAGAAAATTATTTCAAAATGAATTCAATTAAATGTGATTTAAATGTGATTGAACAACCGAGTCATTTCTTACTAGAAAAATTCGTCAATATTTTCAAGTGAATAGCTCTTCGAATCCATAATGACTAATGCTTCATCGGGCTCCCAGAATTGTTTCGAAGGCATCAAGTACGCGAGAGATGGAAATGTATTAGACATCTCTTTCAATTTGTCATTGGGAAAAACAGCGATACCGAGATCATATCCAACAGATACCGCCTGAATTGGTCTAACACTGCCACCCCATGGAACTGCCAAGGTGATAGTCCGTTCTAAGTATTTATCTTTCCAATCTTGTGGCATTTGCTGAAGAAAATGCAAAAGCATTCTACCGCCCATCGAATAGGCAATGAAAGTGACTCGAGTATTTTTGTTGATCCCATACGAATACTCGGTTAACTGCTTCAAATTCTGAAACCATTGTGTGCTTTCGTCTGTTTAAATGGTAATTATTGCCAAATCTAAAATTCGATTCCAAAATTCGATAAATGTATGGTAGTTGAACGTACTTGGCCCTTTTCGAAAATCGTACGGAGCTCCAAAGAGATTTTTCCCTCGAATATAGCCGCGATTTACCAAAGCTTCTGAAATGTAATTGAAATAAGCACCGAATATCCATATCCATTCCATTGATTCCGTGCTTCCCCATCCAATTACTCTGGTCACGACACCCGGTGTATTTTTAGTTTTGCGCGTTTCCGGATCGTAAACTAATTTCAGATTGTCCATCTATGAAAATCACAACTGTAAAAATCGGATTTAACCATGTTTAAACAGTACGACTTACCCAGCAATCAAATGAAAGAACAGGATGATAGTCCAACCATATATTGAAATAGTCACTTTTCTTTGAGCACCACCAATGTGGAGCGGTTGGTTTATTCAATTTCGCCTCCATTTTGGATCCACCAAATCCAGGAACTGCAAAAATGACAATTCAATACTCAAATGCGTTGATTTACACAAGTTCACATTTACTTACTGAGAATGACAGGCGACAGCAGACAATCTGAATTTTCGTTCACTTCATTACTATCTAAAAATCTGATCGAATCGATGAAGTTCGAATGGATCACGTGAAAATTCACCAACATGAAATAGTAAATTGTCCAATGAACAATCTTCATGTTGGTTCTGGTCTCTTTAATTCAAATCAAATTTAACACGATTAGCGTTCTTCACTCTCCGTTTGCGGAATAAACAGCTGGCACTTCATTCAATCTCACAGACTGATTCAAACTGAATGGAACGACTGTCGACCTTCCTAAAATGCTTGTAGTTAGCAACATTCTCACAAAATACGGAAGTTGAGTATGGCGGCACACATGCTACCGATTTTGTTTTCTGTTGTAAAATAAAAATGAATCATAATTTTCTACAAAGTTCTACAGCGGTCAAACCACATTACTTTCTAGGGAAACAATCTCATGCGATTAAAAGAAGAATGTAAAAAAACACTCTTACCCAAAAAGCCGGACACGCTTGATAATAAATGACTGAATCAGTTGAACATACAAATACATACAATTTCTCATTTTGTTTCTCGGTTTAAGCTTTGATCTTAAAATTGTATGTCTGAATGAGCATGTGTGATAACAAGTATTTATTATTCTGACGTAACGCTCGGAATTTGTCCTGATACTACTTGTAGTGTCAACATACCAGTGGATTTTCTCATTTATAATATACTGTAACGCACTGATCGTTTCGTACTTCGGTAATTGTTTTTTTATTTTAAGTTTAAATTTTCTAAAATGGGATTTCACAAATGAATCAAAGAAAAACGGACACAATGATTGTGAGAACACATAAGAAGTATTTTCCGGAGAATTACCAGTTCAAGATCAATTCCACTTGATTTTTTGGTAACTTTTTTATATCATGTTTTAGCACAAATAAATAATTTACGTAAAACATAACTTCGACAATTTGTTCGAATTTTAACGAGCAACCGCCTTTACAGTGTAATCTATAACTTCAGAATAACTGGTGAGTATGTCCAAATGATCTTTGCCTGCAAATTCTCGAACATAAATTTTGCGATTGGTAGTTTTCTTCCAATGACTGCAACCAATCAGTGGACGCTTGTTCACTACACCATCTCCATCTCCATTGAATATCGTTGGATCTGAATTGAACTAAATAGAAAAACAAAACATTCGTATTGAATTACTTACTTAGAATGGAAAGAGGACCATTTGACATTTTTAATTCACGAAGAGTATCCTGATAACTAGAACGACCGTCGATTACATGATACAAGCAGCAAACTTGGACAAAAACGAATTTAAATAAGCGAATAACCTTCATATTAATTAGTTCGTTGTTTTTTTTACTAAATTCAAAACCACTTCGAACTCCTAACAATTGTACACAAGATATTTTTATTTGCTAACACCAGAGTAATATTTTTTCACTTTCATGCGCTAGCCGAAACTAACAAGTCATTGAGCATTGTTGATATTAATTCATAGGTCTTGGCTCCGTCATTTCCAATAAATAGATTCTATGAAAAGCGATGAATATTCTACATTTTCGTCGTGTTTCACAATTTTTTTCCACAAATTAGTCATTGGAGAAGGGGATTCAATATGTGAAAAATGTATATTTTTTGAAATAATCATTGTGGCTCAAAATCAGTAAATATGACGCATATTCAATTGTTTTGTTATCAACTTTTTGGACAATTTCAAGTAATTTTCCATTTTTTTGTTGTTATTTTGAATCATAAAATGCTTGTACTTTGCTTGAGATATTCTGTGTATGATGATGCATTTATTATGAATAATTATAATGTAATCTAACTTACATCATATTCATCGACCAACAGTAGGTATAGGAAAAATGTCATTGAAAATCCTTAAAATATTTATCGAATATTTTGGCAGGAATCTAGTCAGTTTTGTATATTATTCTCGAGTGTTTTGCTTTCATCGTTGACATTCGTAAGAGTCTCCACAATGTAATTTATAGGCGCAGAATTGTCAAGTATGGTAACATGGTCGAGGCCAGAAAATTCTTTTTGATAAATTTTATTCTTTTGTGCGTCCATTTTGTGGGAGAACCAACGATTACATCCAGCCAATGATCTTTGATTAACATACTCGTCACCATTTCCGAAAAATGTCGCCGGATTTTGATCGAAACTATTGCTAAACTCCAATCTAGAAAATACAAACATAAAATATGACACTGTACACTATTGTTCATGCATTCAAACGGATTCATTTCAAATGATACCTTTCAACAGTGCTATCAGCATTGCTTCCAAACAAACAGTGCATCTCAACGCCAGGTTCTGCCGCATTACTGTAAACAGATTGATCTTTTCTCATTTCGACAACGTTCGGCAAACCAATGTCACTATATACAAAAGAAGCAATCACTATACTCAATTTCAACACCATTATGTGTCATATCTTACTAGAAAAATTCGTCAATATTTTCAAGTGTATAATTTTTTCCGCTAATAACAGCCAATACTTCAGTTGGTGCCCAAAAATCGTCCGAAGGTAGCAGCCATGCGAGGGATGAAAATGTCTCTTGTATAGTCTTCATGTGATCATTGGCTGGAAATAAGAATGGAGGAAAAGGATTGTATCCAATGGACATGGCCATGATGCTCTGAATGCTGCCGCCCCATGGAACCGACATTGCGATGAACCGTTTCACGTATTTATCCTTCCACGTCTGAGGCATTTGTTGCAAGAAATACAACAGCATTCGTCCGCCCATTGAGTGAGCAATGTACGTAATGCGAACGTGATTGTTATTTTCGTATGCATATTCAGTCAACTGTTGCATGCGATCAAACCAATCCGTATTTTCTTCTGTGTAAGATATAAAAGTTATCACAGATTTTCTTCGGAACTGTATATTTTCATACTCACTTGGTCCTTTTCGAAAATCGTATGGTGCAGCGAAAACGTTTTTGCCTTCACTATAACCACATTTGGCCAATGCATTCGCAATGTCATCGAAAAATCCCTTTTCATTTCGCGTAACCCATTTCACTGCATCAGCATCTCTCCAATCAGGGAACCTCAACTCAACTCCTGGCGTATTTTTCGCTTTATGCGTCACATTATCATAGACCAATTTCATGTTGTCAACCTACATTTAAATTAATCATTTATCCATTGTTTCAAGTCGTTTGAATAAGTTCATTTTAAAATACCCAACATGGAATGGAGAATATGAGCTGCAACACGTTCACCCAAATGTCAAAGTAGTCGCTTTCTCGTGCACATCTCATGGGACCAGTCGTCTTGTTCAGTTTCGCTTGTAATTTACTTCCTCCGAGTCCAGGAACTTTAAATTGAAACGAATTTGTTATGCAGAATTATTTACGAATTATGAATTAACTTACTGAAGATAACAGGCGACAACGGTCCTCGTGAAGTGCAATTTTCACTACCAAAGCTGAAACATTCAATAGATCAATTCAATTTAATTACCAAATTTCATTTTTTTCATTCATCATAACACTTTTTATTTAAATAAATTTAAGAAATTACAATTCAAAAAATGCCCAATCAAATACACTGGTTTCAATTAAATAGAACAAACAAAACGACATTAAACCAAATTGCAAAACTGTCCTCATATTGCTTTTATTAATTTTTTTTCCCTTTTCATTGGTGCAGACAACAGATTAGGGACGTCACGTCGCTTCAGTGTTTCAAGTTAAACTGAATTCAATCAAAAGAAACGACCGAATCATTTGTTGAACTTTGTTACAATATTAATTAAAGAACGCATTATCATTATTAAATGTGTTATGTGTTGCTTCGTATTCCATTCGAATTTGTTGTTGATCTCATCGCATTTTGAGGAAAGTACAATCACAGTATTTCTATGAATTTGCAGTCTACTTTTCAAGCGAGCGTTGCCATTTATTATTTCCAGCGCTTTCAGACTCATTCAAAAACGGGTATGTAAATTGACGAAATGGACAAACAAAAATGATGAGGGAAAATGTGTGTGTGCGCTACGTGGCCCATATAAATTCTTAGTCAAAATTACTTATGATGAGATTTGAAATTGTATGAGTAGAAAAAAGACGTGTGAATGCGGCGACGGTGTATGCTAATCGAAGTTGGTGGTATGAAAATAACATGCAATATTGTGTTGTTTTATGTGTTAAAATAATGACAATCAACTAGGACAATTAATCAAGACACACTTTTGGACAACTATAGTATGTGTGAAAGTGACAATTTACGAAATCGATGCATTTAAGAGTCGCTCTGATTTTTAGTGCATTTGCTACTATTCCACATAAATGTATTGTTCAAACTTGCATTGCAGTACACATTTCGAAAAAAAAGACAATGAACATTGAATATATATGGATTATATTATACACATCAATATTTTGATAGAGAAAAAAAAAGAAAAGAGCTCATAATTTAACAGAAGCGTCTGGTTCGGTTTCCAAGATTCCCCACGTAGGCTTCATTTCTAGAATTTACGAAGCACCATAAAATAAGAAAAGCTGCTTTGGACCACCTAGTAAGATACAGAACATGTTAAATTAATACGCCTTCATGATGACAAACGCACAGCATTTATTTACATTTTTAAAACATTCTCGGGTACAAGAGGTTTGTCCAAACGCCCGAAGAATGACTGGTTGTTGAGCGGCCTGTATTACAGTCGGTAGCATTTTTTGCATTTCAACCGAGAATAAAATCCAGTCACAACGATCGATGTCGTCCATTATCTTCGTAAATTGGGTGCAAATTATTTCTCCGACCTCGCAGAAAACGAAAACTATTTCAAATGACCAAATTGTCAATAGCGAAAGGCGTATCAATACGATCGATATTCCCGCAACTTGTGACTAAAGAATGAAAAGAGATATTCAATCAGATCCTTGCTTGGGATTGTATCAAAGCAAGCATCAAAGTTACTCAACTATTTCCGTTTGGACCATTAAAAGTGTAATGGATATGGTCAACAGACTCCAGACAAAAGTAGTTAGGATAATCAGATTGTAGATGCCAGAAAAATCAACGGCAAGCCTTGAAGGACAAATAGAAAGTGTTGGAGAAACTGACATATTTTTGCAAGAAAAAAATTAAATAATCAACTCAACTGTTTCAGCGTTACATGAAAATCAATGAACTCTTTAAATTTATCATGAGATTTTGATGGATTGTCTTCATTTTTAATACCCTCATTCATGCTTTGGATATCAGAGCGAATTTCGTTGGTATTGGTAACCATCATCAAACATGATGCACCCAAGAAGCTCATATAACAGATGAAAGAATATGAGATGCAATAACTCCCCGCAGTTTGAATGATGAAGGCAACTAGGTAACCGAATGGCGTTTTCCAGTCAAATGGCATCCTTCGTAATGACAGGACATTATTATGGACTTTATTTCTATACACTTTTGGGCAACTTTTATGTACTCACCAGATTGGGAAGGCAAAACTAAATGAATCTGCTCCCGAATCAGTTGCAAAATAAAGAAGATAGCTCTTGATTAGGTTAGGAAACATCACTACCGGGGTGGTTACATATATTGACACGAAATTAATTATGTAGTTCCATTTTTCAAATCTTTTCTTCTGTTTGTCGAAAGTTTGCTCTGATATCGGATTGTCCGAACCTGTGTTAATTTTACAAAATAAAATATACGTCACAAATCACTTTGTGCATAAAAAAACATTTTTCAGAAGAATTTATGTGCTTGAGTCCATGGAAAATGTATCAGTAATTATGGTCCTTCGAAACACATTCAAATTCAAAGAATAGATCTCTCACAATTTGTACAAGATAAAAATAACTTACGTTTTTCTATGACTTTCTTAAAGATATCCATTACTCTGAAAGCTACCGGTGATTTCCATAAGATTACAATATAAACTGACATAAATTTCATTACTGTCAAAAAAATATACAGCGATTCTGCATATTCTTGAAAATTCTTGGCTTCATACAGAAAAAATGCCATAGTAAAAACACCCCAAAGAAAGAAAGTGGAAAATATCAAACAACTTCTCAAGTATGCGAAGATCGAATGATCCTTCTGTCTTTGAGGCCTTTCGATTCCGGCGGATACAAAATTAGCCTGAACTAACTCAAACACTTCCATTGCACTGAATGATTTGAATTTTTCTTGTTATTTTTTTTGAATAATTGCAAAAATGTTTTCCAAATTTTGCGGTCCGATTGAATGAACTAATTTCAGAGATTAGATTTTTCTAGAAGTATTTTTTTTTTGAATCAATTAATAAAATGAAAGAACTATTTATCCTCGTACAAATTAATTGTTGTATCGCAAACGATTCCAAAAATAAGTGTTTTCATCATCAGACGATGAATATAACTGATATGATATTGCTGGTCCTTATTCAATTTATACTGCAAACAGAAGAGTATAAATGAATATTATTCATGGAATACATGCCTTTTCATAATTAATTATCGGTTGTCTCATTTCGTATTGAATATTTAAATTTAACAGACGCACGGAAACTTTCCATATTGAAATCTTACTCTACAGGCGTCGATTGCACTTCTATATGCTCGCTCGCCATTACTAAGTGATTTTATTCAACAAATATTCAATCATGTATAGCGGTGAGACTGAAATTAGAATATTTCTCAAGGACTGAATAATGGAAAAAACCTATTTTGGTTTTTTATTTAAAAGAAATCGATTCACCCAATCGTTCAAGATAAGAAAAACACAATTGGTATCCACTTGATTTCTTGGTATATTTCTAAACTTTAGATAAATTCTCATGGGCAACAGCATTCAATATGTATAATCTATGACATCAGAGTGGCCGAGAATTCCGATGTGACTTTCGCCTGGATATTCTTGTACATAAATTCTGCGATTTGTATCACTTATATTTTTATTTCGATATTATGACCATGGCGGTGGCTGATAGCTGATACAGTAAATATGACTCAAATTCAATTGCTTTGTTTTCTTTCAATGGTTTTGCCATTTTCATGGTTTTTGCTATTATTTAAAAAAAAAATTTCTTGAATCATATTTTTTATAATAATTTGCCTTACATCATCTATTGTTGGATTTACTTTTGAATCCGAATGGCATGACACAAGCGGATTATATCGTCTTCGACACACAACTTTGTTGAATCGAAGTAAGCTTCACGATTGCTCTTTGTTTGATATTGTCAATCTGTAGTATTCTTGCCCACAATTTTTCACCATCACGCCGATTGATTTGTCAAAGCATCAACTTTATAATTGGTGAACTCCATTCAAGTCATATTTTCAGTGGTACAGCACAATGCACTTATTTTGGCAATTCACACATTATGTTGATGATTTCCCGAGAGCCATGGTCGATGAATGAAACCTTAAATGATTTGTCCATTTTGGCATCCGCGATGATATCCGCGTCCATATCATACTCATATAGTGTGAATTTGGTTAATTTAATAAGATCATCCAACTTTTGATTCCATCATTTTGGTCTTCTTTTTTGTCCGAAAGTAAAGGATCTACCATTGTTTGTCGTAATAGTTCTCCAAATGATGGTGATGTCTTGCTCTTGTTCCCACTGTTTGTATTGGTATTTTCTCTCGGATTGACGGAGAAAACTAACCTCTCTTTTGATGTTCGTATTTCTGAATGGTTTGTATTGCAGCACCAAATGCGACATTTTTGGTCAACGGTGTCGTATCGTTTGTGTTTGATGCTTGTGACGTGGCGCTTCTGCACTGTTCGAGTTTCCCTTGCTGGATCGTTGTGGTTAATGTTGTCCTTCAATTTTTCTTCCAAAAATTTGAGCAATGAATGGTATGCACATTCGTCTTTGGATTCTTCGTATGCTCTGTAGGTTGGGTACAGATTCTTGATCAAAATAATTTGTCGTTTAACATGTCGCTGTCCATTTTGTGTCTTTATCAATATTTTCCACTTCTTTACTCAATCTTTACTATAACTATTCTTTACTATTACTATCTCATCGCTAATTTCATTCTTGATGTTTAGAAAATTCCTATTTTTTTCATGCAAATTCGTTGTTGATGCGAACTGATTCAATGAAAAGTCACTGTACACGTTTTACATTAAAAATGGAATTTATTTGATTGGCAGAACGAGCAAAAATCGATAAAATCAACATATTTTACAATGAAATCTTTTGACAAGTGATTAGGTACGATAATTTAAAATAAACTGTAAAATGACATAAACAATAAAAATTTCTTTTACAATAATAAGGTTTTTGTGATATATATAAACATTTTTTTTCCTAAAAGAGACGAATTCTCATAATTTTGTTGTTTTTGTGAGTTTTATTTTTTCGTCTGACTTCTGTATAGCCGGTCACACCGCAAAGTGTTCTCGTAATGTAGTCAATAAGTCTGGAGTCACTAAGAATATCATAATGTTCCGCATCGGGAATCTCTTGTTGATGAATTGCATAGCCAAATTGAGCCGGTGTATTTTGCCAGTAATTACACCCAATCAATGAACGTCGATTCACTGTTCCGTCGCCTTCACCTTTGACTTCAATCGGGTTTGCATTCAATCCCTTGCCAAAATTCAAACTGCCGAAAGATGCATCAGATTGTAATTATTATATTTCCAAACACAAATTCAACGACTGAACTACCTTTCAAAAACACCATCATCACTATTGCCGAACAAACAGTGCATTTCTACGCCGGGTGCCATTAAACTACCATAAGGCTGTAGATCTTTTCGCATCTCAACTATGTTTGGGCTG